AAGAGAATGTCATGGAAGTACATGAGGGAAAGATAAATGTAAGGATAGATTACTTTTTTATATCAGTATCGATGAAGCATCAGTTTAGATGGGATTCAAACATTGAACTCTATGTTTGTCAATGCATCCATTACTGATAACATTACACATGTGGTAGTGAGATGTTGTAGAAGAGTAAATGGAAATAGAAAAAGTACAGAAACTGAACATGGAAGATAAGGGAATGGTGAAGAAGACAGATAATCCTTCTTCACAGAAGAAGGACAGAAATTAATGGAGAATTCTATTAGTTTCTGACCATTAAAGAGGTCTACTAAGGCATGTGGCATGAAGGATAGTGTTTATTTTATATACAATTTTTTATTTCTCTACCATTGTTGTGATTTCAGCACTCTTAGACCGGGCAAAGGCAGTGCCTCCTTGTCCTCTAATCTTTAGAGTTCCCCTTACCAGTCCTTTTGTTATTGTGCCCATCTATGGCCATCCCTTCAAGCATCTCCTGCTTCCTGAAACCATTATATTATTTTCCCATTGCCAATACAACCAATCACTCTGAACATAGCAACCTCAAATACTTCATGCTTATTATTTCCTATTTCAGAGGTTAGATGTCCAGAGCATGGCTCCATTCCTTCAGGATATTTTAGGAAAGTCCTTTTCTTTTCCATTGCAGCTTCTGCAGGACTCTTGAGTCCATTCTATCTTCAAAGTTAGTGACTATATCTGGAGTGTTTTTTCCTTACTTTTAATGGATCTGACATTAACTCCGATCTCCTGCCTCCCTCTTCTGAGGGAGATGTTCAGGGTTATCCTCTTATTTAGAATCTATTCATTAGCAGACTAATAACCTACAATCTTAACTTCCCTTTGCTATGTCTAGTTAAGCATGGTATTGACAACCATTGAGACCAAGGCAGCAGTAGGTCATGTTCCAAGCCTATGTGACCTATCAAATAGGGCAGGCCTGGTTGTCATTACTCAGACAAAATGTTCCCCTACTCTTTATGCTGGTTTGTCCCAAGAGATATTGGGAAAATCCACTATAATTTACCTCTCCTTCTCAAATTTGTTTTGGGATTTGTCTCACTAAGATCCAGCTAAAAAATTCCCAGATATTCAATAAAGCTTAACCCAGAAAGATTACAGTCATTTATCTTTTATGAGAACTACAGTGTCTGGGATGTAGAAAGGCTGGGAAAATTTACATAGCTGGGATGGGATTCTACATCAGTATTCAAGGAGAAGAGTAATGCCTGTAGAAGGTGAAGAAGCAGAACTGTAAACTATGCAGAGCATAATTAGCTAGAAGTCCATATGTTCACATTCTATCCAGTGTTGTTTTTAATCTAATTATGATGCCTTTAAATAATAGTGGTGAAAATCTGTGCTCCAGTGACCAGGCTGAATTCTCTTTTCTGAATGACTACTCACAAATGCTTCATGCCATTATCCTGCCTATATCATAAGCCAGATTTGTATGTTTTTATTTCTTCATGTGTTTGCTTAAATTAACATGTGTGAATATGTGTGGGCATCTTTAATGTACACGGGCATGTAAATTATACACATTTTATTTATTTCAGTATCTGATTTGTGTGATGATAAGAAGCAGTTAAACCATGCACTCAAAGTTATAGGCCTCTTCCAACCCCCTCAGAAGACCCCCATCAGACCTATGAAACAAACTCTTACAGACTGATGACTCTTAGCACTCCTTAGCAGGAATCACCTTTTTTTTTTTTTTTTTTTTTTTTTTTTAATTAGCAGGCCAGTGAAGACTATAGTTTTTGCTTAAATTCTTTTTCTTTCTCACTTCTCTGTCCATTCTTTGTCTACATTCTATTTCTGGTCATAATTTACTTTTATACTAATTTTCACTGGTATCACTAGAAAAATAGAAAAAGTTACTTCCTTGCAAGAATATTTGGGAAACACATCCAACACATGACCTTTCTTTAGGACCAAAAAGTATCCTTTCCCGTGATGAATATTTATAGCTCACTGTTTTGAGTCAGTGTTCTATTGCCGTGAAGGGACACCGTGACCATGATAATTCTTTAAAATGGAAGTATTTAATTGGGAACTTGCTTACAGTTTTAGAGGTTTAGTCCATTATTATCAAGGTGGGGAGCATTGTGGTATGCTGGCAGGCATGATGTTGGAGCAGTAGTTGAAAGCTACATCCTAATCCGTAGGCCAATAGAGGGACTGGACGTGGCATGGACTTTTGAAATCTCAAAGTCCAATCCCAGTGACATGCTTTGCCCTAAAGGTCTGCTTTTCTTAATCCTTCTAATTCTTTCAAAGAGTTCCACTAGTGACTAAACACTCATAACATGTGAGTGTATGTCGGCCATTTTTATTCTCACCACCGCACACACTAAAGCACATGGAAGACACAGCAGTTTATAACGAGTACTGGTTTTATATTATTAGTAAGCGTACACAACTGAACATCTTTAAATCTCAATTTTGGGGTTGATCAGTTTGTGCAGTTGCTCTGTGGAAGAGACAGATATTTAACATATGAGTTTACAAAAACTAATTGCCAAGATACACCACGGTGTTACAGTAAAAGTTGGAGCTGTTAAGATTGTTGAACAGGATGTCTGACCTTGAAGTAAAGATACCCTTCATTGCACAAGCTTTTTGCTATATTCCAGTCACTTTGTCCTCTTGGCCTTGAAATTTCTCATAATATAAGAAATTTCTCATTTTCCACATAATAGAAAACCCAAACAATCTGAAAGCATGCTCCACAGTATCATCTTCATTGGTCCCATATGCCCTTTGACCTCTCACTAATTTATAAATTACTGAGCCTTTTTCTGTTTTAAATACCTTATATAATAGATGCTTATTAAGCCAACCATTACATTTTGGACATTCAGAGGTAAAAGTTCCATGTTCCTGCACTGAAGCAGCTGTAGTTGGGATGGGGAGATATTAAAACTGGTCAGCATTGACTATTTTAAGACAAGGATCCTATAAGAACTGGAAAGCATTAGCAAGTATGGAAGATCATTCTGGGAATAAAGGTCCTGAAGAGTGAGCCAGAAGATGTTTGACCATGGGTCTGAGCAATTAGTAATGAGCCTCACCCAAGAGCCTGAATGAAGGGGACTAAGTGAGCTAAGATTTATAGTAACAGATATAAGCAGGAGAGGAAGAGCAATAGAAGAAACAGAAAATTTAAGATGTCCTAAAGGTTAACTCTGTGAGGAGGCACTATGAGAATGGGGGATGTTGGGAGATTCCCACTTCAACTGAGAGGTAGGGGTTTCAATATTTATAATAGACACGAAAAATAGAAGCTCAGATTGGGATGTCAGTAGATGGATGCAAATTGGGATGTGGGTAGATGGATGTTCTTATGACTCTGTGCCAGGTGGAGCTGGCTGGACAGAGGCTAATCGAATGAGTGTGCGTCACAGGAAAAAGGCCTAACCAGGGTATATCAACTTGGACAAAGTAGTTATAAACATATAAAGCAAGTTCTTCTTTATCGCCTACATAGCAATGGTCTCCCACCAGAAAGATCACGGTTTAAAGTGAACTACACAAACTCTTAATAAATTGTATTTTAAGTTTCAGTTAATAATGAATAGATGGAGAACGTCCGTTATGGGAAAGCAAAAGTACCCATTAGAGCCATTATCGTTTATACACGTGCGGTATAGCTATGTACACATATATAATCATCACAAATAGCTTGGTGTGTGTGTGTGTGTGTGTGTGTGTGTGTGTGTGTGTGTTGCTCTATGGCAACATTAATACATTTGATATTCAATGTGACATTTCCTCTGAAAAAGAACATGCTTTTTGGTCTCTGTTACCGAATTTTCTGTTTGTCAAGAGAGGGAAAGGTTGAGTTAGACTTTATAATTATACTGAAGTATAATAATATTCTTAGAAATAGAGTTTTTTTTTATTTCATTCTGCATGTTTCAACCCATTTGCATATAAGCAACACCTTTAAATCGTAGCCAAGTCAAGTAGCCAATTACTTTCTCTTGCTGCATTCAAACCAGTCAGTAAATGCCAGGAAAGGATGTACATCCTAAGAGAATGACTAGCCACCAAGATGTGCCTTCCCATTGAAGATGCTGCGAGGGAACTACCTATTGCTGACCTGTGGGCACTCAAGGCAATGTTAACTTTCACTTTGGTTTATTTTTAATGTTGGGACTAATTCTGTATTTTAACCCTGGTTTGTTTAATAACTATTTTGGATTTCCTTTGATCTTGTGCAATCATCAACCGAGTTGATGCTCCATGAAAACAAAACTCCTAGGACTTGGGCAACCCTGGCCCAGTGGCCAGGTGACCGAGACTGGGTGGGGACCCGCGGAGTTCTGTGGGCGCGGAGCCTCTCGCATACCAATCTCCTCCCACCATCAGCTCTCGCCCTGGGGCGGAGAGGGCTGCAAACTTCGCTCCAATCCGCAGCCACCCTCCCCAGGGTCCCCCTGCTGGGCGACATGCCCGCTGTGGACTGAAGTTGGGGGAACTTTGCAGATAAACTGCTCCTGAGAGTTAGGGAGGGAAACTCCCCGCCTCCCCACATTCCGGGCTCCCCTGCCCCCGCCTCCCGGTCCTCGCCCAGCCGCCGGCGCTGGTGATAGGACGAGCCCCTGGCGTGCATTGTGTGTATGCAAAGCATCGCCCCGCTCCCGGGGCAGCTGGATTGGGGACTCGGCTGCTGCTGTGGCTGCAACTGTCGCTGCGGTATATGCTGCTGCCACGGGTGCCGCCGCCTGCGACTGAGCCCAGCGCTGTCATGCTCCTGCGGCAGGGCGGGGGGCAGCGTCGTCCCGTCGCTATATAAGCGCGAGCGGAGGGGGCACCCGGAGGGGCTGAAAATGAAGGTGCCCGCGCATGGGCCGCCGCTGATTGCCAACCCCTCCCGAGCTCGCTCCCGGCGTGGAGCCCGAGGCCGCCGAGGACCCGCCTTCGCCGCAGTAGCAGCAGGAGCAGCGACGCGGACAGCAGCTGCGGCGGCGGCGGCGGTGGCGGTGGCGCCCCTCGCGCCAGCGCGTAGAACGCCGGCGACTCCGGGGCCGCCGCTGGCCCCGCTGCCATGAGTTGTGCGGAGGTGATGTATCACCCGCAGCCGTATGGAGCGCCCCAGTATCTGCCCAACCCCGTGGCTGCTGCAACCTGCCCCACAGCCTGCTATCATCCGGCGTCCCAACCTGGCCAGCAGGTGAGTCACCAGCCGGGCAGCCTTCCGGGGGCGGGGACGAGGGGCACCCGGTATCGGTTGTGGGGCTCCAGTCCTGTCCCGCCGGGACCCGAGGCACGGAAGATGCTCTGGGACCTGCGGGGAGACAAGGGAAGAGAGAGAGACAGAGAGAGAATAAAAAAAGATAGAAGGGCAGGACTGCGGGTGGCAGGGCTGGGATTCCTGGAGAGGCTATACCTGGCCTGGGGGCTTCTTTGAGCTGTGTCACCTGGACTCAGAGGCTGTTGCTCCTAGTGCGCCGGTCCTTAGGACTCAGTTCTCTGAAGCTCACCAAAGGCATCTGTCTGTCTTAGGACTGTGTGAGTAAACTTTTTACCTGAATACTTTGTTTCCTTGGGCAAGTGGAGAGTATTCCAGCGTTTTCTGGATTAAGACTAGAAGGTGGGCCACTGAGGTAGCAGAAGTTAGTTACCTGAGCAGTTAGCTCACAAAATTATCATTCTGGGACTTGAATGGGGGAACTCTGGTCTGATAGAAGACACATTCAGTGTTTCTGGAACTTAGCTGATGCCTTTCTCCCTGGGGCTGTGATTTAGATGACGGGTGGCCTGAAAGACTCTTCATTCATTTTCTGTTCCCAACGAAGCACAGAGCTTGTCGGTGGTGTCCATCAGCAGACCTGTGTTTCTCAGCCCAGAGGTAGCCTTGAGTCTCGGCATGCTTGGGCCCCACCCAGCCAAGACATTGAATATGTCAGTAAAAAAGACCTGGTGTCTGGAGGATGACAAGAAAGTGTAGACACTGGAAAGTTTGACACTAGGGATCCTTGAGTATTACTCTGTGGCCACATAGCAAGTTCACCAAAATTTAGTTAGCCACTACCTTAAAAGCAGTAAAACGTGCATGTGGCAAGGGACTGTGCTGAAACAGAGTCCTTGGACTATGGCAATTAGAGTAGGCTGATTTCATTGAAACTTAAAAACACAGCTAGATATAGTTAGAAAATAACGATTTATGGAATTTATTGTCTTGTTTTCATTTCTTAGGAACTGTATGTTTTATTCTGGCCTTCAGGGTTTGGCCCTGGGAGGACTCTGACCTTTGAATTCCTGTTTTTCCTTTGCCTCTGTCCCTTTTCAAGAAGCACAGGGCTACTCTCTGGAAAAGAGACGATTGCTCTCTGTTTAAAATGTAGTGGCTGTCAAATTCAGCTAATTCTGAAAGGGTGCAAGTCCAGGACTCACCATTAAACAGCTCCGTCTTAATGAAGACCAGTGGGACACAAGATAGAAGAGCCCACTTTCTTGCTAGTATTAATTATTGTATTTACTTAATATTCGACAGCTTTACCGTTTCAAAGCAAAATGACCTTTGATGGGAGAGATGGGCAAGTACTTTTCTATTTTGTGGTCAGGGGTGACAATTGAAAACATTTTGGCTGCTCATGTTTGCTTTGACATATCCAAAATAGTACTATTGTAGGTTCAAGCAAGGCAAAGAGACCTTGGATCTTACTAACACCCAGCTGTGCAAGAAGCACCCTTTGCTCCATCTCTGATGCTGTAGAGGCCTTCAATTATCAGTTGGAATGTGGATGAGCAACTGACTGAGATGTTTCTAAATATTCAGAGAGATAACTTTCTCTTCTGAAAAAAGCAAGGAGCAGTAGAGCTTGTGAATAACATCTCTTATAAATTATAAAATCAATTCCATTAAAATAGGTGTCCATAGTAGAGGCCAAAATTATAATACTCTTTCAGCTAAAAAAAAAAAAAAATCAAAGTCTTTATTAGACAACTTAAAAGCCACTAATCCACTAATTTTGAAAGATAGTTTTCAGTGATGACTGACTCCAAGTACTTTATCTTATTTTGTGATGTCCCTAAGATTCAACCCCAAATTCCATTCTTTTGCGAAAACTATCAACAAGCTGACAATTGAATTAAAAATAAGACACAAAAAGAGTCTAACCTGTCTGTGTTGAGAAGTTACACAATGGTGAGCTTCTGTTATATTCGGAACTTCTATAGACATTCTTTAAGTAGCTGTTTGGCTGAGTCTACTGGAAGGATTTAGTTTGAAAGGTGTACATAGAAATTTCTTTACTTCTCTGGCTAATTAGCTTACTTGATATTCAAATTTTTTTTCTGGTAAATAAACTATGTGATTATTATTAGCCGGTGGACTAAAGAGAGTCAACTGTGTCACTACTGTTCTTTTACTGTCAGAGTTTATTTTGATGACCTATATTTTCTATTGGAAGAAAGAGTAAGTCAGGAAATTCTTATCAGCCTGACAACATTTTTAGACTATGCAGTGCGTGGGTGAAGTGGGACTATTGGCTAGGCCCTAATGCAGTCATCTGAGAATACATATTTTGGTTGTTTTTTGCATTCCATAAGGTTTTATCATTATTATCCATGAAGGTTGTTTTTTGCCGTACAAGGGGTTTGACCCCTATAATAGCATCTTGTTTGGGAGACAAAAATGAGGGCTACAACTCTTCTTGCATTAAGACAAAAATAAAACAAAAGCAAAAACAAACCAAACATTTGATTTGTTGAGGAGGAAAAAAGAAAAGAAACAAAAATTGACAGTGTAATCCAAAAATCTTAATAGTTATCCACATAGTAGGTGCCGGATGGGAAGATGTAGAAATATCATGCTGTTTCTGCATGCAGTTGTAGTATCTCTTAGCTGTTCTCTCTCCCCAAAACGGGGGTGGTTTTTTTTTTTTTTTTTTTTTTGTTTGGTTTTTTGTTTTGTTTTGTTTTCTGGAAGGAAAGGGGATCAAATGCGGATTCTCACATGTGTTAGGCAAGCAGTATACCACTAAAATACATATACACTCTCTCCCTTTGAAGTTCTTACAAATCAGTATATCAAAATAATTCATTATTATTGGTCTTAAGCATGGGTGCATTTTCCCTCTCTGAAAATTAGTTTACAAATGAAAGAACTTTGTTTTCCAGTTGTATGTACCACCAGCTTTCCCTGTACACCTGAAAGTTTTAAGCTTAGGTTTTTGATTGAATGTATTGTAGGTGCAGGCAGGTAGCAGATGAATGTTTTAAAAACCTAGTAATCCACACATAGTGGCTTCCCTGCAATATCTTTCTACAGTTAAACTAATCAAACTAATCTGCAAATGTCTGAAGAGTAAATTTATGATCCATGAAGTTAACTCCTAGAAACTGTGTGCTGGGCTCCAATCTTCTAGTGAACTTTGCAGAGCCGGAACTTGGTGAGAGATCCTGAACAGCCTAGCCCCTAGCCTCATCATCTCCCATAGCCCCCAGACAGCCCTCTTCCATCTCTCCCTGGGAGAAGCCTTGACTCAGTCTCAGCACATGCTCTGAGGCTGATGACACTGCAGAACGTGAACAGAAAGGAATGCGCTTGTATTCTACCAGTGACAGTAGGAAACAGTACAAAGTTTCGAAATACGTGTCAGGAAAAATTGAGGGCAACAATATGAAATCATAGATTCCCTACATACCCAATGGACTTCTCATCTTAAAGGCTGTCTAGTCTGTTGTCTAAATCCCTCCCATATTAAGAATGTTAAATTAGGAATATACTAAATGTCAGGTTCTCACATGAAACAACACAGAGAGGTAGCTGAATTTCCATAAATACATAGATTTTTAATGGTCATTTTCAGATTCGTGTAAGCTAGAACATGTTCACTCTCTCTTCTTCAAAGATAGCAGCTGGGTGGTAACACACACAGGCCATCTCTTAAAAAAGGGAGGGAGAGGGAGAAAAATAAATGTTTCTTTGGGAGGCAAAACTCCAGTAATGTTTATGAGGCATTTTTGAAACTCATTGTCTGTTTTCTGCTACCTTAGTTAAGTCACAAAATTACTCTGAGATTCTGTTTCTCACATGGGAGGGTGGGGAACATATTATAAATGGGAAAATTCAGGCCCATGGGGTTGGAATTCCTGGCTAAAATGTCTGTACTCATTGGTAACGGAATCAGGACCAGCAGATCTCTTTTCCTGGAGTAACACCCTTTTACCACATCATTCAGTTTCCCAAGCATTTCCCCTTCATTACACACCAGGTTAATGTTTGTTTTCAGTACCACAATCAACTTTTTTTTGTTGTTGTTGTTTGATTTTTTTTTTTTTGTAAAGAAGATTAATATGCAATAGATTCTTTGGCCTTGGAGCTTGATATTCTTTCCAAGTCCTTGGTAGTGTACTTTTTAAAGTTTAGAAATGCCAAAGCCTCTTTGCAAATCGTTGTATTGTGCTAATGACTTTTGCTCTCCGTGTTACATGCTTTTATTTTATTTTTTTAAAGAAACTGTGTACCTACCTAGCAAATGAACATTTGTTAATTTAAAATCAAATGCATCCCATACCATATTTATGTACCTCAGTTTTATTGCTATTCAAACATAACGTTAGATTCATTCAGCGGGAAGTACTCAGTTTTAACCTAAATAGTTTCATTGCACAGTCAAATTATTTAAGGCTGATGATTTAATTTTCTTGTAACTGAAAGCAGGGACTTAAGTATATTTGTAAGGATTTAGGCAGGGCTCCTTTGAAAAAGCACAGCCTCTGTAATTCCATGATACACAAATTAACTCGACAGCAGAGTCTTAGGAGCTTAAGTTGTCCGGAGTTTCATGTTCTTAGTAACTTCGCAACAAAAAGAAGTCAGAGGCAGAAACGGTTAAGCATGAAAGTAACCAAAGTTTGGACAAACCAGTGATTCAGAATGGAGATGATGACAGTGATACCAGAGAGGGTGGCACTGATGTCCAGAGGCTCACAGAGTGAGGGTGTATCCACCTAGAAGTCAACCACGAGGAAAAGGGATGGTTAGAAAGTTAATAAAAAGAATTTGTCCAATGTGCAAGAAGCACCACTTCACCCAGCCCAGTGCTTGGTAGACTCTCCACAAAGCTTGGCATGGTGCATGGTGTAGGGAGGACTCGCTTCAAGGGGGGTGGTGTTCAGAGAGGAAGCCCTGTTCCTTTGCTGAAGATTTCTTTCCAGTACGGC